TACTACGCTTTCTCCCTCTGTTCCTACCTCTGAAATGCAGATTAACGGCGCTTCCTCGACCACGAAGAAAACTACCGCAAAAGCTACTACAAGGAAAGCTACAGCGACGACAAAAAAAGCTACGACAGCCCGGACACAAAAACCTCCATGGGCGCCGACTTTTTCGGTAAGCCAGTTATGGTATATATTTTACTGCAAAAATTATAGTTAGGCTCGAAAAACTACTACGTCAGCTCGGTGCCTTGTCGAAATGTTTTTGTAAGAGTTAACGTTAGCGCGAGGCATGGAGGCTTAGGAATGCTATCAAATCTGCGATGCGAATGGTGTCGACACTTTGTCAATACATTCTGCAAACGAAAATCAGCAGGTTGTGAGTAAGTTGGGTTTAACTTTCCCACCGTATAACCGCAAAAAAGACGTAATGGTGCATGTGATTCCGTGATTCAGATAAAATCTTTGCAAAGCGAAACTGCAGTGGTGTCATGGCACTTGGTATACGTTTTGGCACGGGAAACACGATTTCTTGGAGGTGGGTTTTCGTAGCTGTAGAAAAACATGATATAATTATTAAACTAGCGTAATCAAACGCACTGTTCTAGCGGAAACTTTGCGTTGGTTTAGAGATGGCACAATGTATCGATACGCAAATTGGTCACCTCAAAACCCATCGTTTGTTGATGGTTATGGACATGCGGAAAACTGCGTATTGGTAATTTTTATTTGGGCAACATCTCATGTAGAAATATTTAGTTACAAGCCAATGGGTGGTGGAACGACGTGGCCTGTCAAGCTGCTTATTTTTCGCAACTTGTAACGTGTGTTTGTACGGAAACGTTATGAACGCTATTTTGTGTATCTGTCATTATGTATGTACCAAATAAAATTCTATAGTGCTGCAATGAAAACTCCTCTGAATAATTTTAAAGTTGAACCGCGTTTTTCATTGTCGTTGTTTACGTTTGCCGTTCCAAAATGCCACAATCTGTCGGGAAAATTACCCTAAACGTATCAAAGCGTCCTGGAAACTAACGGGGGCCCCCAATTTTTGGGTCGAGGTTCGATTCAGATGCTGGTTTTTGTTTTCCTTCTCCTAATTCCAACTTCAAGCTCCGACTTTTTCTCGCTGTTCCAACGACAATGCTTTACCCTCGGTGACGCACCGGAACTGGCGTGCATGCAGAACTGTCTCGTAAATGAGGAATGTCTCGGAGTTGGGGGAGGTGGGTAGAGTTTCGAAAGTAGCAATTAAAGGTTCTTGTTGGCACCAAATTAATTTTTATGCTTATGAAACTTAAAGTATTCAAGTATACCATTTAGCTTCCACAAGCTGCAGCTTCATAACTTCATTGGAAGGCTTAGACCTCCAAACAGGATTTGCATTAACAAGAAATGTTACCGAAGAAGATCTAGGAGAAAATTATTGTGCTAACGACAGCACTTATTATAATGCAACGATCTTGACAACTACCACCACAACACCCAAGAAAACGACCAAGACGACCAAGACGACCAAAACTACGAAAAAGGCTACAACAACTACCGCGATACCTAGACGTGGTGGTAACCTGCCGGTTTTTAGCTCAAATAAAAAGTACTACTATAAGATGGCGACCAAGTGTATTTCTCCGCAGGTGAGTAGGACAAAAATATTTGACTTACTGAGGCCATGCAATCGAACGTTCAGTTGACAAGACAATTGAAGTTTGCAAGGAAATACATAGGATGAACAAGTAGCTATGCGACAGGCCTCTTTTCAGAGCTGCATCAACGTTTGCGCACAAACCAATACGAAACCGCTGTCCATCCACTCGGCCTCCGAGCAGAATTTTGTCATAAGTTGGTTTTTATACCTTCTTGAATTGATGATTTACTTAGTTCAGATCCGGTTAAAAACGTGTTTAGACAAGAATAAGGGTGCCTGCAACGGCAACATCACACTTGGAATGAATCCTTCGACTTTGAAATGGCTGTAAAAATTTTTATATCTTTTACAACTGCCTTTTTAGGGACGGAACGATAATGAGCTACCACAATTTTAAGGTGCCAAACCCGTCAGGCACGGATGGCGACGGGAATCCTGAAAACTGCGCCGTGGTTAGTGGGCTTTTGTTCTATCGAAAGCAGCTAGAAATCTGTTTCCAAATGGCTTATCGCGCAAAAGAACCATCCAATGAAAGCCCATTAAACTGATTTATAACTTTCGGCTTAAAAGAAACAAGCCACTTCCAGACCATGCCGAGCGGCCGGTGGAACGATGTCTCATGCAAGGCCGGAGTTTATCCATTTCTCGCCTCATGTTATTGCACGCTGATGATTACTACATGATCGCTGCGGCCTATCTTCACCCTCATTGCCAAGTCTAAAAAATGGGCATTTGTATAAAAAGTACAGCATAATCTACATACGATCTTATGGAATTTCCGCAGACAGGCCATAACGTTCCATAATGGCCACAACTTAAGGCATAACGATCATGGCTCAGCTACGTAGCTAGCGATAAATACCAAATTTTTTCTATTGACAAAATTCACCAATTTCCACAATCCAAAACGTCCAAGAACCTAACTGAAACAAGGGACCACAGCCGCAAGTCGATGCAATTTGCTGACATGCCAAAAAATGGCCAAAAATAATGAAGATGCTGGAAAAACTATTTTCACCACCGCTCGAAGATCACTGTAGCAAAGGAGTTGCGCTTGATTTTTTGGACTCCCTGTACCACAATTGATCGATGCCGGTCAAAGCCTCGTGAAAAACAAAAATTCATTTTATCATGGTTCCACATTTTAATGCGGATCTCCTGTTTCACTGCTTTCGGATATCATAGAGATGGGTTGCCTAGCAGTTGCCGAACTTCCGCGGCCACATCAATTTAAAAGTGCATTAACCAAAGTGCTCCATGAGGACTTGCCGGGAGACCAAAATTTTATGCAGGCATTATGGAAACATGCTCCGACTTCCTTCATTGATAATCTTATTTAACGGGTTTTGTGGTAGCGACGATCTTTTTACACGGCAAGCTTTATCCATCCGAGAAATCCCTACTGAAAATTGTTTGAAAAACTGTGTATTGGAAGCAAATTGCCTCGGGATTGCTGCTAGTAAGCTTCGCTTAGTTTTAACGACATTCGGTCGGTTATTTGACCAGGTTTAGGCATCAAAAAATTGTCTTTTTAGACGATACTTCGAATTGTATTCTCGTCTCATCTCCTGCGGTTATGGCGGAAAATACAAATTTTCAATTAAACCGGAATGCCGACCTATCGACGCTTGATATTTCTGCCTGCACTCTTTATAATAAAACGTATGAATCTACTACAATACAAATTACAACTACAACTCCAAAACTCCCCTGGGATCCTGTATTTAATGTATGAAAAAATTCGTGGAAGAGGGAAATATCTACCTTTCTAGATGAGCAACAAATACTATTATATCAGCTCGTCAACTTGTGCTTATATTTCTGTGGGTATTTTAAGGGAGACTATAAGCAAATTGGATACCGAAAGAAGGCCTGAAGTCGCCAAAACGGGAACGCAAAGAGCGCACATGCGCCGCGGTGCATCGTAAGGTCGTCGGAGTCCATAGGGTCGCGGAACGACCTTGCCTTCCGTATTGGTTTTTAAAAAAATGAGTTTTATACAATTTGATCACATTATTGGCTTACCTTTTACGTAATAGGTTTGTCAAGAACAATGCGCTACTTATGGCGTCAGTGAGCTGTCGATTCACTCATCCGGGGAGAACACGGCCGTTAAAGGTTTCTGACGTTATTCCTATATTAAGACTCTTTTATTAGCAGAATCATAGAGATTTACAAAGAATAGTTAAGTACAAAATAGCAAGTTTTATTTAGAAAATATCTTTGCCAAGCTTAACTGCGGCGGCTACATGTTTCTCGGGACACAGACGCCGGCTAACCGCACTATAACATGGAGGTAAAGTTTTAGGTGGATTTTTTAATAGAAGAATCTCAATCATCTTGTCATTTTTTTCTAATAAAGTTTTTAGTGACGGCACCCCATATAACTACTCGAATTGGGGCCCCGGCAATCCTTCGTTTTTCACTAGCTGGGGAAATCCTGAAAGTTGTGGCACGGTGAGTTTTGAGTTGGTAGTTTCATGCAAATGAGACGCTTTTCAGTGATGTCACAGTTTTTAGCAGAATAAAGCCTATCTTCTGGTTTGCGCTGAATCCTAATCCGTTTTCCTAATTTGCTTAACTGGCACTTTGAAGAAGGCATAAAGCAATATAGCCCTCTGATAGATCAATCGGTTCTGGTTGGTTAGCGGGGGGGGGGGTGAATGTAGCTGTCATTTCTTGTAAATGCCGATTAAGCAAATATGGGAAGCAAAATTCGGAATCAGCGCAAAATTCTGCACAACCTGCTCAAAACTGTGAAGTGACTGAAAACGTCTCCTTGTTAATTGATTAGGTGCTTTAGTAAAGCCAGCGGGATTTCTAGGTGAAGCGCTGCTTCTCATTATGATTTAAATGCCTTTAGCTGCAGACTGACGGTACCTGGAACGACGTGTCGTGCGATCATATGGTATGGGGGCAACGAGTCGTTTGTGTTTGTACGCAAACGTTATGAACCGCTACTTATTGCGGTTTAACCTCTCTCGCTCTCTCTCTCTCTCTCTCTCTCTCTCTCTCTCTAGCTCTCTCTCTAGCTCTCCCGACAGATCTTCGATATATTCATTATTTCTTGTATTAATAACAACCAAATAAGCACATTCCAATTTATTAACGACCTACACAAACATAATCCATTTCGTTATTTCTGAAAGCCAAAGCAAATGATGTGTGGGAGGGTTGAATTTGTCTTTTGTACCAATAAATAGGATACAAAGAGTGGAAAGACGGAGTGCGGGTAAGGCCCAAAAAATCACGTGTTACAAATAAGTTATGTTCAGGCGACCAGAAAATATACAGAAAAAGGAGACAAAGAAGAAATGAGTCCAAGTTGAGGGCCTCAACTTGAGGCCCATGTTCCCTACCCGGTGACCTGATCATAGTAGTCGACGTTGCCGTCGCGCGACTCTTCCGTTTTCACCTGAATTTTTGAGGGTGAAAATTCACGTGTTTTTTTTAAGTAATCAACGTTTCAATAAAACATGTATAGATATTAAAATTTAGCAGGAATTGAAGAATCTAGCGCAAATTTTCCATGAAAAGCTTCAAAACTAGGCAAAATAGCATTATCTTTATTTTTAACAAAGTAATCTCATTTTGCCGTATATTTTGCCATGTTTTTAACGCATAATAACAGCGGCAAATCAAAAAATATATACCAACTATCTATAACTATGATCAGTAAGTGTCTAGAAATCACTGTGAAAGTTCCAATTTAGGCATTTTCAGTCTTTCTTTTAACGCTTCCGGCAGGTTGGCTATATTTCTCCTGTATAAAAAATAATCCTAAAAATTAAAGAAAGAACAGTATGCAAACTATATAGATCAAGCGTAAAATACGACCACTTATACTGAAAGCTTTTTTACTCGCTTACCTGACATTTCGTGCCGTAGCAATAATCGACCGATATCCGCAAGCGATCTTTTTCGAATGACACATCAACCGACTGCTGGTCAAAGTCGAAGATGATCGGGAATGCGATTCCCTGAATTCGCAAGAATCAGCCTTATACCCTCAGAAAAGGGATACCTTCATCTTCTCCGCCATCTCATCATTGAGCACCAGCTCTATTAAGGCGTTGACGAGGAATTCAAGCGAGTTGGCGTCAATACCATCAACGCTTGAGGTGACCTGGAAATGTAGAGACGTGAATCGTCAATTTAATGGGATTGTGAAGGCAGAACGCGGCTGTCGATCCGCCCATTATAAGACTTTAGTATACGTTGCGGATGTCTGAAGCTTCAGAAAAATGGAAATCTGATCGACCGTAGCCATGTCTTGCCTTGAGGTGGGCGCAAAGTTATCAGGCTTACATCGGTCAGCTTGAACTTGTCGATCCTGAGCTTCGACTTGAAGACGTAGTCCTGGAACTTTGGCTCGTCGTACTTCACCTCAGCTGCCATGTTGCATTGCAGGAACCGGCGGGTTCGCTCGGTTTGCTAAAGGCGAATTTTGAAATGGAGAAATTGACAGAAAATCGCCCTGAATGTCAATAAAAATTAAAATAAGGCTTTATCTATGAAAAATCGCAATTATAGCGTTTAATACATTTGTTTCCCACTCTGTGTGAAGCCCACCCACCTGCACGTAGGCGTCAATCTTGGTCTCCACGAAGACTCGAGCCTTTCCCTCGGTGATGACCACTTTTGGATATGAAGAGGTATGGGACTTGATGACTACCATTCCATTCGGGAAACGTTCTTTGAGAGCTAAACGAAAAAGCTACGATAATCGTCCTATAATTCATACCCGGAAATATGGTCCCAGCACAAATATCATCCTTTCCGCAATCTGTCCTCAAGTACCCGGCCAAGGCTGAGTTGTTCTGCGCGGTTTTCGAGATCTCGTAGTCGAACTTGCTGAAAATACCTGGTTTTAATCGCCTCAAAACCTGGATTTCAGTACTCAGCGCCGATTCCGGTATCAAAAACTTACCGGTATTGATCCATCCAGAACAGCAAACTGCTCAAGGTGTAGTTTCCAATGACAATGTCGACCATCCGCCCGGAATCGGTCTGAGGATCCAGAGGACCAGCGCGGAATGGCAGACGGAAGTCGTTGAGACGGGTTCTTCCTGAAAGTATACAAGTTTTAGGCCGGCTCTGACGTTACAATTCCTTGAATTACACTCAAACAATATTACTTACCTTCAGGGGCGTAGCCAGAAAAAAATTTCGGGGGGGCCCCCAAAAATTTTTTCCAAAAAACTGAAAACATTAACGAGAAAACAGCGCCGCAGGCAAAATTTTTGGAAAAAAAAAGATTACATAGCTCTACAACAAGCCGTAAAAAAAAGTGAAAAAATAGCGCCGCAGGCAGCAAAATTTTTGAGAAAATGGAAATCATAAGGGTCCCCCATTATGAAATTTCGGGCCCCGGCCGATTTCGGGGGAGTCGGGCCCCCGGGGCCTGTACAGTGTGTGTCAAAAAGATAGGGACACCTTCTTTTTTGCGATTATCTCGACCCTCATCGATTTTGAGCAGAAGTCAAATAGTGGGTCTTGTAGAGCTTGAAACGGCGCATTTTTTCATGTACTTGAAATGTCTGTAAAATAAATGACGCCATTTTTATAAGCGAAAGAACAAAACAGAGCAAAAAACAGAAGTGTCAAAAAGATAGGGACACACTTTACATACAATTACCATCAACTTCGCGCTTGCAAATTACATGCTAATGAGGATGCAAAGTCTTTCCTATTTCTGACTTCCGGGTTTTCGGAGTAATCGGGAATCTGCATAGCCAAAAAACTTCGTAGCAGCAATTAGCATGTAATTTGCAAGCGCGAAGTTGATGGTAATTGTATGTAAAGTGTGTCCCTATCTTTTTGACACTTCTGTTTTTTGCTCTGTTTTGTTCTTTCGCTTATAAAAATGGCGTCATTTATTTTACAGACATTTCAAGTACATGAAAAAATGCGCCGTTTCAAGCTCTACAAGACCCACTATTTGACTTCTGCTCAAAATCGATGAGGGTCGAGATAATCGCAAAAAAAGAAGGTGTCCCTATCTTTTTGACACACACTGTATTACGCTACGTCCCTGCTTACCTTGTCTTAAAATGCCGAACGCATTTCCTCTATGTTTCATAA